CACTTTCAAGTGAAAAAGTGGCAACCTTTGTGTGGGCAACTATATTAAATCAGTTAAACCACGATACTAACCCCGCATTAAGTTAATAAACACGAATAAAACAATTAAAAGCGTAAATGTCAGCCCCGTAACAATTTTTAAAGATTCACTCAAAACACGAGAAATTCCTCGGAAATAAAGGAAACTTATTTATGTGCAAGGCACGATCATAAAAATTCAAAAAATCTAAATAAACGCTCTGTACTAAAGTCGTTCTCTCTAGAACAAAGGTAGGAAAATTACCGCCGGATCAGACCCACCAGAGTGTTTCAGTCGGCCCACTGCGACTATAGCATTTATGAATATAAAATTTGTTGAAAATTACGTCATAATGACCCCGATTCATAACATTGTGCTTCTTCTTATTATTATATAAACGTTAGTCTAGCTGTTGTAAATTAACTGTTTTCAATTTATAGTTTTTAATAGTGAGTTTTGAGTCTCCGGCCCAGTAACCAAGTTTCTTATCTGTAACTGGCCCACTCAGAGAAGTGATTGCCCATCTCTAAAATATGTTGCAAATGGCCTGGATTATGTTTTATTTTGGTTACTCCGTACCATTCGCAACGTGACCGAGACTGAATCAGAAGAATCCACCCACTGACAATAGCAGCATAACGAGTAAGATAAAATGAATGAACGTGGGAGGTTTGTTGCGTTTAAATAGCGATGCTTTAAAATGGACATTTTTTTAAATTATAATTGATTGTAATCACATACAGTAACGTTATGCAACCAATGAAAGCCGATTTATTGTCACAAATATAAAAATTCTCAATAATTGATATCATTGAAGTGACTTACGTGTGAGCTATTATAATAAACCAGTCGAAATCATGACTCTATCCAACACACTCCTTTACGTATACGGCGTTAAGCTGATAAACACAAATAAAAAAAAAGCAAATTACACTCGTAAAGATTTTTTGGGGATTCACCCAAAGCACAAGGAATTCCTCAGAAAACTCATCTTTTGTGCAAAGCACGATCATAAAAATTCAAAAACCACGCAGAAGTATGATGATGCCGAATTAGTTGAGATTTGAAACAGTTCAAGCCAACACGAACAATATGAATAAATACACGCTCTGTTTTAGATAACGGTTATAACGGAAAGCCAGTATCGATACCGTGAAATTCTATAAATTTCACTTTTATTTCCAAGTTTTTTTCATTTGGTCATTTATTATTGTTAAAACTAAGTTTGTTTCAATACGTCATTCCTTAAAAATTAACGAATATTTATTTATCTATAAACAAAGATAAAAATCGCCTACCCTTCATATTTAAGTCTTATCTCCCACACATAGCAACAAACAATTTTAACCATTTCTATAAAACTTCGTACGTAGGAGGCGACGTTGTTCACTTTTTTATCGAAAATATTCTCGATGTTGAGAATGGCCAGCGGTTTACAAAGTCACGTACCGCACTGCCAGCAACTTTAAATATAATAAAAACTAACAAGCGTACTATTGGTTCGACCAGTCGCGAGTAATGCTGGTTACCATTCCCCCCCCCCCTTTGTCACGTGATTTCAGTAACAAGGAAACATTATTATACCTCGCTTACCCACGCCTTCTCCTTGTAACGAGGTTCTACACAAGAATCAAATAATATCTAACCGTATACATGAAGCTACTATCATTTGGAAGGGAGAGATATTTACAGTTGAGGTTGCCTATCTATTGGTTCGATCAGTTGCCATTAGTGGTCGTTAAGGTTGAGCTTAAGACACTAGTTTTTAATTTTTTCGTTGTTCATCTAATTCTTCTAGAATCGAATATTTTTTTTTAAAGTCGAGGCGAAGAAGACTAGATGGGACATCGGAAACTGCTATATACCTCGCCCATTCACGCCTTTCACTTGGAACAAGGCTTTTTTTTAGCTGACATGGGCCAACTTTAGCTGGCGGGCCAAACCCGGCCCGTTGAGTAATTAAATTTGGGCCACCTGATGCTGTCCCAGCCAAACCAAAACCAAATTTTGATGTTTCAGATAATGAATTCGTTTAGATTGCGATAAAATTTAGTTTTGAAACAAGGCTTATTGTTTTCCACTTTTGTTTTTGTAATACTGTAAATATTGTTCATAAAATGTAAATTTTACTTCGCACTAACAGCAGCCAAGGTGGACAAAATCTTTGGCCCCTTGTCCAAAAACCTTGCTCACCTCTGCTCTATAGTCTATGGCTCTATACAGTCACTAATATCTAACGATATGCAAAAAAGCTGCCATGATTTTACTATTGTACTTAAAATAAAAATACGAGCACTGGAACAAAATAGCATAATATTATTATTCCACAGGAATTTAAGCTCCAATGAACGACATGGACTGGTAACGTGACGAGAAGCCGTGGTTCGCCATAGGAATAAGTCGTTTTGTCGGCTTTCCTCTGCTCGGGATAAATATTTAAATATGATCTTATTTAATCTACACCTGCTCAGTGTCCTAACGAAACTCACAATTTATTTGACTGACTTTGCAAATATTGAAAATTTCCCTTTTTGTAAAAAGGTATGAAATTTTCATCCGGAACAAGTAGCCAAATTGTTATGGCAATGTCAAAAACCACAAGAAGTGTAAGGTCACGAATGTCACGGAAAAGGTTTGAATAAAAAAAAATTTGTTCCATACAATTTATGCCCTAAAATATTTATACCGTTGGAGTGTTCCCGGAATTAGTAATACAAAGTCGATTAATTAAAATTACATGAGAATATCAGTTAAAAAAAATAATTTTTTAAACAGTATAGAAACCCACGCAAAAATAAAGTTTGCCCACATTTAATTTTACATAAAATTCACAGGACATTTAAATATAAACTAAAATTAGCTTCGGGCGATAATTGTAGGCGGATATTAGTAGTTTATATAGTAATCAGCATTAACCGAGGCTTTGATAATTGTTCTTTTTGTCAAGGCCAGTATATATTAGACGTTGATTTCGACAGACAAGGGGATACGTAGGAAAGCTTGGAATGAATGAGAGAGCTGGTATGGCGTAAATTTGAGTCAAATTACCAACTCTGGGCTTCAGACGAATTATATTTGAACGACATACAGGTTGTCTATAAAGTCTTTTACAATTACAATTTGTTATGAAGTCAGTTCCAGAAATATCTCAACCAGGTTTGTTGATATTTTGAATCAGTAATTGTTCAAGTATTTTTACTTCATTTAATACATCTGTGAGGGCAGAAACAATATATGGTATCGATAAAGTCCCTTTGCAATTTTAAGACTTCATGGACCCCCTATGTAATGATAACAACATATTATGATATGTATAAGGGGCTGCTATGTTTCGTAATGACCGGCTTTGTCCCTGTTCGCTCTTGACTATCCAATTTGTTAGATGCTGTTAGTTTATGTAAATATCAACATAGATACTATTAACCGACGCTAAATGTTCATTTCGTCGAAGAATGTATATACCAAAACGAGAATTTGGACAGACAGACAGAGGACTGCCCATGTAGAAAAAGTTAGAATGAATTATAAAGCTGGTAAAGCGCAAATGTAAGTCAAATAATCAACATAGAGTCTCAGAAGATTGGTGCTTAAAATGAATTATTTATCGGGCGAGTTATTAACTCTTGCGTACGTTGGGTTGCATGGGATTTGAACCTAAGATGTTCAACCAGCGATGCCAACATCGTTCGGTACAGCGCTTCAAATACTGTAGGTTATCGTGCTCACAATCCTTCTGTTCCTTCTCTTATGAGCATACATAAATGTATAAATGTCAATTTCTGCCCGGGTCCGAAGCAGTGTTTCTCGACATTTTTGAAATAGGCATGAGGTTTACACATTAGTGCCCCCCCCCCCAAACCTACTGGAAGGGAGATCTTGGGGGGGGGGGGGGGGTATATGGGGATTTCATATGATCCTCCCCGTCGTCGATTAGAGATTGAAAAGAGAAGAACCATACGCTTGAAATTAAACCAAGATTTGTATGTACAAGTTCGACTGATAAATAGACATCAGAGTTTGTTCGGTCATCGACACTTTCACTGTATTATTTAAATTAGTAAAAAACATTTTATGATACTCGAAATTTTTGTTAACGATTTTTTGGGCCTGAAATTTCCTTTAAATCTGAAAATGCGCCACAAGAGAATATAAGTTGAGAACCATTGGTCTGAAGCAGTGTTCTTTCAAACTTTCTTCATCACTACCCACTTGGCACGGAAAATGTTTTCGCGACACTCGAGAAATTTAATGATACCGACGTGCTAATTCTCGCACAAAAGATCGAATCTTGGCTCTATTTCGGTGACGATGGGCCTCAGTACTGTTTCCAAATCTTTCAAACTTGGTCGATATTTTGTTTTAACATAAATCAGTGTCGAAAAAGATTTTTCACACAGATACGTGGAGGCATAATGAGAGAAGACGTATAGCCAGTTCTAACAATAATGGGTACCATGACCCATATTGCGCCGTTTTGAGACCCCTCGAAAGATCACCCAGTTTGAATAGCCATAGTCTAAAACAGGCATGTCCAACCTTTTTAGTGTCGTGGGACACTTTGACAAAAGGAAATTCGTTGCGGGCCGCAAACGTTTTTACCAAACTTAAATACGACCCCAATTCCGATTACGTTAGAATTTGAGCGTCGCTAAATCAAACGCCTGGATTGCACAACACTTTTGCGGATTTCTGAACACAAGATGAACACAAAGACTTTGAACCATGAAATTTGACTCAACTTCTATGCAAAACTCACAACTTTCAAGCAATAATATACATTGTCATAAAAAATTGAAAGAAAAATGAGTCTGCAATTTTTCGTTTCACCTAGTGCGAAACTTGCTTTAGAATGTTATTGCTCAACTGTTTAATATCAACGGTAAGTTTTGATACCGCACAACCTAACTGGCTTGTCAAATTGTCGTTAGTCAGCTTACTCGTATGCTTTGACTTCATAATTTTCAATTTCGATTTTTCAATTCAGGATGGGGAACTTATCTTCATCGATATTACTCACTGTATAATTCAAGTTTTCTATCTCTTTGAAACAAGTGTTTCAGTTCCGTATTTGACTGGACCTCAATCAATTCAAGTTGCATTTATTCTGGGGCTTCTTCTACCCGAATGTCGAATGAACACATAAAACTTTTAAAAAGAGACGAAGAAGAGCGAATTTTTGTAAGTAAGCAAATCTCTCTTCAAATGGTCTGTAAACTCATATTCCGTGGCCATTAACAACGCTTTTTATATGGCGGAGCCGTGTAAAATTGAAGTGTGAAATTAAATTAAAGTAAGATTTGATAGCACACCAGAAAATTTTTATGTTAAATATGTTTATACGTCCGTATTTATATAAAAACTTCAAGTGGGCAGCACGAATGCATGCGGCCCGCGGGCTTGACATCCCTGGTCTAAAAGAAACTTGAAGTTGCCACAGTATTGCACAAAAGCTTATCTTATACCCATTTAATTTCAGGAAAGCATGGAACTTATTTTAAATATTTGTAGCATATTAGTGCTGTGTGTGATAGTCAATGCGGATTTACCATATACTCACGTATACGGACCTATTCGCCCAACTCCAAATCCAACCAGGGGCATATCTGCTTTTGTTGGCCCAAAAGGTGCCCGTGGGCCCCCGGGACGCATTGGACCAATGGGCTTCACAGGAGCTAAAGGCAAACCGGGCCCAGTTGGTCAACAAGGTCGAATGGGACCGATAGGGCCGGCTGGTCCCCAAGGAGAAAATGGAACTTCAATCACCGGCCCCCGAGGACCCCCAGGACGAAGAGGTCCCAGAGGCCCCAAGGGAGATGAGGGAGCCGAGGGATCTCCTGGGGAAAAGGGCGAGACAGGTAAATTAGTGGTGTATTTATAGACAAATCTGGTGATAGCTTTAACAAATGTTATATATGAAAGCCCTGCTTGATGAGAATGTATATGATTTCTTTTTACTCCACAAGAATAAATTAAAGAAGGATCTACATCACACTACACACCCGGGGTACTGGTTCGCTCGGCACTTTTACCTCTGACCCTTGAGACAACTTCCGATGACCCTCGATAACCATTCCAGTTTCCACGCGGCGTATAATAATTTGCAACATGTATTTAATCAAATATACATGAATGTAATTCCATTATTTAACCTAGGCAAACAAGGAAATAAAGGTGACATGGGGACGATGGGACCAGCAGGATTGAACGGCACAGACGGACGCCCTGGAGAAGGAAGGCAAGGAATGCGCGGACCTAAGGGAAAGAAAGGCGAGGCCGGATCAGGAAATATGGATTTTGATATATTGGAATACATTATCAAGAAAAATGTAGAAATTTTATTAGGTAAGCAGATCATTTGAGTCAACGAAAACTTGGAAATTTTAATATATATATTTTTTTGCTACGAATAAGGCTTTTTCCGAGCTGTCACTGTTGAATAAGGAGCCACTATAACTTTGAGCGACCAGAATTATTCCGATTAGTTAAAGTCCCAAGAAAAATGTATAGATTTTATTAGCTACGTAAGTGATTTGAGTCAGCGAAAATCGCGACTTTCTCGCACAAGGTTCTGTTCAAGAAGTCACCGTTAGGTAAAAAGCTATTGTAATTTGGATAACTGGAATCTTTCCGCCTGATGATTGCCTAGTCAGTTTATTACACCCTTGTTGAGCTAGTGGGAAGGATGTTTAAACTTGAGGTTTTAAACATGTAATGTCAACATAGTTGAATTGAGCTAGGGGGAGGGACCTCCTTTTTGAAATTAAAAGAAAAAATTTCAGCCCATCATTCATTTTATTTATTTATTACAATTTGGATGGTGTGTTGAGAGTGAGATCAGCATGCGAGATTAAAAGCTTGCAATGCCAACATACATGGGGGGTCGCGAGAAAAACACAAAAGGCATATGTTATATTACACAAAATATAACAGAAATCAAATAATAAAACCTAAACGATATCAACCTAGAACCTAAAAATAATGAAAACGTATTGACAAAGAAATGAGTAAGCACACATTTTATTTGTGATCTCATCTGACCTATAAGTTTTTCGCGTTTCTAGCTGTATTTAAGTCCAACGGTTCACCTACTTGGCCATCGTCAGCTTTTAAATTTTTTTACTCATTTGAATTACGATGTAATACTGGTAAATCTTTACGTAATTTTCTTTTACAGATGATTTGAAAGATGAGCAAAGAGACTTCAGAAAAGAACTGCAAGAGACTCTTAAAGCGACAAGAAGTAAGACAATCAAGAACTTTGTAATTTTATAAATTTTTACTATTCAAACTTAACCCACCTGAATTCGCATTTTGCTGTGGAAACTTCCTAAACAAAGTTTTTCGTTTCGAGATTAACTGCACATGTGTCCAAATTTTGGGACTAGTTCACTAAACGCCAGCAAGTACTTCTAGTTGACGTGGGTTAACCATTTTCGCATATGTCATTTCTAACCCCCACCTGACTACCTCATCCAAAACTTACGTCACTACAACGTCAGAGTTAGGAATAACGTATGCAAAAATGTTTGTGCCAGGCCAACTAGAAGTACTTACGGCGTTTAGTGAACATGCGCCCAAATTTTTCCATCTTTCTAACCATACAATAATCTTGATCCGGCTGTGGAAGCCGCATGTTTTCACTGAACACAAAGAAAACAGTGACAGTTTGGGCGAAAGATAAACAACACAGTAATTATGACGGACGACACGAGATAGCAATAATCAACACGATGACGATATTGGTTTGAATGAGCGCGAACTAAACTAACTCCACTGATTGCCGGCAGATGCCAACACGGTTATGTCTAACCTATAAGTTACATAATCTTAGTAATGAAAAGCGCCATTACTTATAATAATTAATAATACAATTTGTGTAGTGAGGATCGCCAAAAGTGCAACGCGGTCTCGCCCCGGAAGTGTGCTTTAGATACGAAGCAAATCTGCTGCATGTTCAAAGAAGTCTTTCTATTCTTAGTGTAAGCGGGAGGCGATTGGCTGACTCACTCGAGGGCATAACCGAATGCTAGATTCTTCCGAATATATTCTGAAAAATTTTCCATTATAGAATTCGGAACACATTTTAAAATCCCACAATTTTTTTCGTTTTTTTTCAGCTGAAATTAACCAACTTCGAGATATCGTTGCTGATCTTTCAATGAAAGTACAATATATGACAGCTGTTAAAGAAAACGGCGTCGGTGAAGGTGAATATTTTTTAAATTCAATGTTTTCTTGAATTCCATGAAAAATTGTCGACTCAGAGTTCGCTAGTCGGTTAATTGCATGGTGGCATATACAAGCGCAAGATCTGCAAGACCTGCAAGATCTTTACTTTACGGAGTCTAGGAGCTTTCAAATTGTCAGTGGTTAAAGATTGTCTTTTCTGCTGAAAAGCTATCACTTATTTTATTTATGTCAAAAATTTCTGTGAGTTCGATGGGATTCGTTTTTGTGTGCGATGGCGTTATCCAAATTGAAAATGGCACACCTTGTCGCGGTTAGGGTACCTGTAGTCCACTGCGACAGATTGGGTACCCGTACTACAGCGCTTCGAACCTTGTGTGTATAGATTTAGGCACCGCTTTCTTGTTTTCTATGCTCGTACAAATTGTATTTTTAGTATGGTAAAAAATAGTGATACTGATCCTAAATAATTTCGATTTCGAAACAAACAAAAATTGGCCGATGGCACAGTTATTCTGATTCACTTATGGTTACTCCTACAAGATACCTGATGAAATAAAAATACTCTATCTTTAATTTTAGTCGAAGAGGCCGAACCTGTAGACGTGGAACCGTGACAAAGATGAGTTTATGGTGATAACGTATTCTGAAGAATATTTCTATTCAAACGCAGCTTATAGTAGAAATTGAAATGTTTGAAACTTAATCTACGAACGAATAAAAATTAAATGTTTATACAAATATTGTTTCACTTAAGTAATATCGGCATCGTAATTACCCTGAGCGGCTTCGCAGGTCGAATACCGTCGGGGATAATTGTGTGCGAGAGGGTTCCTGGAACTGTTGGTCGGTTACGGTTTCCATAACCATCAAATTCACACTTCTGAACAAAGAACTATCAAAATATTTCGATAACCGACATGCATAGGTAGTCGGACAAAGGCCCGTGGTTTGCTATAGGATTAAAGCTATCTCAACGGGACTTCTTTTTACCAGTAATAATATGAAAATTTTATTATATTCTAATGCTAGCATCGCAGGATAGATATATCAGAATTAACGGGCATTTCCGGCAGTGTTGATATAAAATTAGGAGGGTGCGCAGAGAAGGATGTGGGTGCCCTTTGCCATTTACAAAACATAAGAAAGCTATTTTTAATACTAACAATCTGCACGCATAGAACTTAGCAATTGAAACTAGCGACTTCACCATGTCGTAAGCTAAGTAACCATATACAGGGTTGTCATCGATATGAACCCAAAAATAGAGACAACAGGGAAGTATAATAATAGAATACCAAACAACGAAATGCCAGTGCGACCCGTGTCTAAGTAATTATACCTCCTACTGGAAAGGGTTTGTTCCAGCAGTTCTCGCTTCTATCTTGAATTTTGATTCAAGTTACACGAACTGATTTTGGCCGGTATGGGAATAGTTAGCCCTTCATTAGTTTGAGATGCATGAACTGTAGTAACAAATTTTGCTGGTAAACGAGATTTTTACGGTCTGAATTAGGAATATTTATTCTCATCACGCAAGAATTAATATGTATATGCCACAGTAAAACACACACAAAAATGAAGACGTTGAGTTCATAGCAGCTGACGAGATATCGCGAAAGTCATTCAGTCAGTAGTTTATTTTATCACATGCCGATAATTAAGAATGAAGAATAATTAGGATAAAAAAACGAAAAATACGTTTCAGTGTGAAGGGAGACGCGATAAACCAGTGATGGTTATCCAGCAGCGACCATGTTTACGATTCATTTCGGTAGAATAGGATTTACATAATTATCATCAGATTAGTTAGTTAGTTATTTGTTTTCGGAAGCATGGACTTGATATAAACGTGAATTATTAGTATTTAATATAATTACTTTTCACCAAACCGTCCGCATACCTCATTCAAGCTTATGACCTGCACGGTGTGACGCGGGTGCAGGCGCGGCGGTGTGGCTCATCGTGCTAAGCGGTAGGACTACGCTCACCACCGCATCTCCGATTACTCTGCGTGGGTTCGCAGGTCCGAATCCCATGCAGAGATGGTTATGTGCGAGAGGATTGTTTAAAACCTCGCCGCAGTAGGGTGGTTCACGTAACCGGTAAGGCTTCCTCCACCATCAAACCCATGCTTCTGAATACAAATAACTAACTAACCCAATACCCAAAATGGAATGGCAACCCGACGAAAGGCCTTGGTTCGCCATAAAGTTAAGTCGTTTTATTGGCTTTCCACCGGGATAAATATTTAAATCCTATCCTACCATTGGGAAGTGGGCACGCGCTCCTCTAGGATAGATCATAAATGACGCAATGGCGACAGCTGATGATTATGATATGCTTCAATGAATACTGAAATATATTCCATGATATCACCAGTAACGATTCAAAAATTAAAATGGCGTACCGGTACACGCGTCTAATGTACCGTACCGGTACCCAGCGACCAGGATTGATATTTAGTAGGTATTTCCCATCAAAAGCGACCGGCAGATTTATTAGTATAGACCGTGGAACCATAAAAAGTCATCGACAGAATATTTTTTACAAAACCCTTGAATCCACAATAGTCGACAGCAATAATATGTGGAACCTAAAAAATTACGATTGACAGAAAATTATTGACCTAATAATGCTGTAATCTTATGTCTGTATGTAAACTCTAAAATCTGAGAATGAAGCCACGAACCACAGCCTAACAGTACCAGTAGTGACATAGCCTACCAAAACTGCATACGGTACCGGTACCTGTCTGCCAGTAGGCTACCGGTATCCTGGTAGCGATAGCAGTATTCTGGTATTGTACCGGTACCGGTACCGTACCTGACGTGGACTGATAACCGGGCGAGGGGCCGTAGTTTGCCATATGATTAAGAGGTACCGGTGGTCTATTATCAGCTTTCCGTAACTGGCTAACTAATCCCATACCAGCATACCGGTAACTGAAATGGACTGATACCAGTACCAGGATACCGGACGAGAGGCGGTGGTTCACCGTATGGTTGTATTATCGGCTTTCCTTTCCCCCAGGATAAATATGTAAATCCTATCCTATAAAATAATATTCCGATCTTTCGTCTACAACCCAGAACACGAATAAAAAATTAAGAACACACACAACGACGACAGAAAGCTCTGTAAAATTGATAAAATCCTGAACAACGTTTTTCAGCGATTGCTATAAACAGCGTTTGTGCCAATTCACACTCACACAGGTTGAAAAACACATCACAATCGTACTGAAAAGCATAAACAGCATACAGGCATATGTAAACATGTGAACTACCGGGATCCAAATTCCAAGAATGTCCCGTAATTTGGTTCATTAACACAAACACTCCCATCTCGATAATCTAAATTAATCACGGTCGTCACATGACAGCATGACCAAAATGCTGTTTCTTGCTGAAACTCTCTAATGCCACAAATTATTTTTTCCCGAGGAATTCGATGATGACGTCTTCAGATTGCGATTCTTTGTATTTTTTTTATGCGACTTCATTTTACAGTATTTTTACCGATGTTGAGGGACAACAATGTCCAGATGTCCCCCAAGGAAGGGGTGTTTGTTCATGGGCAAAATAGGATTCTCTGAAACGAGATAATTTCTCTCGATCTGTAAAGTGTTTTGTAATGTACTTGGTAAAGTTGAAGGTGATTTTGGAGAGCGAAATCGGTGAAGAGTACAGTAACAACATAAAAATTGTGTCACAATCATGCCATAGCAATCATAGTGCTTGCTGAAGTGCATGCAGAAGGACTGTGTATCGATAGTCCAGCATTGTTCAACTCTAGGCTATCTACACTGTTATTACACCAAATCTTATTTTAAAAATGCAGCAAGGGATAAACAAGACAATAATGGTTAAGATGTCGCAAATTCAGAATGACGAAAGTTAAATATTTTTGATATAAGTAAATGAAAAAGCCGTTTACCGACAGACACTAATCTCGTCTTGATGAGGTCCTTGTGCAGTTGTGTGTAGCGAATTATAAATCACTCAACGCCTATTCAGTTTTATCGTAACACTGGTAGGAAGAAGGAGCATTGGGTTTAATTTGTCTGCCCTCACCATTTTTTTTCTCCATTTTCTTGCAGGTTGTTTGATATACAGATATACCGGTAATTCGGTAAAATTTTACATACCGTATTCACATCTACTTTACAGATGATTAATCAATAATTAAAGTTTTAACTATTCGTATCGAGGAGTTAATCAAAGTTTGGAATTCTTCGAAAGTCTCCTCATCGCTCAGTAAAGACCAGAAGTGTAAGTATGATGTAAAAATTTCATTTTATGAACAATATTTACAGTGTTAAAAAGCAAAAGTGGAAACAATAAGCGTAGTGTTCAAACTAAATTTGGTTGTCGCAGCATCTGCCGGGCCAGATTGAATTGGCCCACCATCTGAATTTGGCTCGCGGGCCATAGTTTGCCGATGTCAGGTATACCCAGATATATGAAGTATCAACATATGGTATATCAATATACATTCCAAAATATTGATGAGGACATTATGTGCCTCACCTCAATCTTTATATTTCGCATGTGAAACAAAAAATGCAGAAATGATAATGTAAGTTAAATGTCACTAGTATTATGATATTGAATTACTAATATCACAAATGATAGATCCACATTTTAAACTTGGTGGTCAATGTATTTGCCAGTCCCACCTGATCTGTGTAAAATAACAATTTTCCTCTTCAGAACAGCGGCCTCTATCATCTCTTAAAATTCTGGTAATAAATCGTTAAATTGGTAAAGAAATGTCCTACAGCACTGCAATTATTTAAACTTTATCAACTTAAATTCAGTGCGTCTATTTCATATGGAATAACTGTATCACACTTTGTGTCACGAATCATCACGAAATATGTCAATTATACAAATTTTTTACATTTCAGGCCATTTTTTTTTATAAACCATCAAAAACCTGGGTGAAATTTCAACTTTTTCGGTGAAATATATGCAGTCCAATAAAATTCCAATGATTTTTGATATAAAAAATACAAAAAATTTACTTTCACTAAACTTTTAAAAAAATTGATAGAATTCAACTTTTGCTTGGAATTGCCCTTATAAGCTGGTGCGCCCAATGTATGTATCAGGTAGTGCTCTATGCCAGGGGGGAAAATTTTTTCAGTATAAGAGCCGCATGCAGCAAGTCAGAAATATGCGAGAGCCGCATAAATTTTGAAATTAATAATATTAGAATACTGTCAACTGAAAAGAACTTTACACAAACGTATAATAACAATATTGCAAAGTATATATTGCGAGGCCATATCAGAAGTAGTTGAATTGTGTGTTTCCATTCTATCTGGACGTTTTTAAAAGTCTTGGGGTGATGTTAATGGGACTAACTGAAATAAAGCTACAACAAACCGCCAACGCAGCAACAAACATTGATCATTGTGTTGTAAGATTTGTCGTTTGACTGATTCACCTTTAAATTCCTCGCTACGATTTTCATACTAAAACATAATCTGTCTTAATCATTGATGAAAACTTCTTCAACCCTGTTCAACGTCTTCAAAACTGTTATGCTACAGTTTCTCTTAGTTAAATTCCGATAATAATTATTGCCAGCGAGAAGAGCCGCATAAAAACTCTAACGAGCTGCGGTTTGCCCACCGTTGCTCTATGCTTTAATGCCTACACCATAACCTGTACCGCTTTTGCCTTAAAAATGGTTGCATCTTTTAGTCTGTTGCGTCTCATGCATGAACAAAACCCAATCTAAGCAGTGTTTGTTAATGACAAAAATAGTATACTCACATTGAAAAGGACTTTGAAAATTATGTGCCCCTGATGGGTCTGTAAAATATGATGGTTGTTTTGTATGAACAACTAGAGCGGATCAGGGTAAACGGCTATAAACTGCTGAACTCTAGCAATTATGGTGTCATTGGCATCATTACTCGATTTCGTGGGTCCTAGTCAATTTGAAACTTGTGTCTGTTTGTGTTTTGTGACTTCATTTAATATTTATCGTTTGTTTACATTGTTTCATAAATAACATATTCGAAAATAAAATATCTGAATCTAATTTAAAAGTTTCACAGCTTGATATCCAGTATATGTTCCCGTTCACCCTGAAATTCAATTTCTGGAAAAAATTCGTTCGGAAAAAATAAACTTGACTTGGCCTAGCTCCCTTTGTATGTACCATGTTTGTTTCAATATGCTGAAAATATGAATTACTGATTACTAAGATTAATCTAAATATGGACAACTGATGTAATCTCAGATTTGTTGTGAAGGATTATTGCTTATTTGAAATCATTTCTATAAGAAGTTGTTGACAATTAGAAATTGATATTTTTCAGGTAAGGTTTGCAAGGTTGTAATGCAACATTGGGGAAAAGACCATCACATTACTTCACAATTCCACACCGACATCAAAATGGCTGACTGTAATCCAGAATACAGGAATATGGAAGGAGGGTTTATGGGGTCGTCCGAACTTACAGGGAGTTTTCTTTCAATACAAAAATGACTGACGTCACTCATAATACACTTTACAGTGGTGATAACTGATGGTAACATGGTACTACTCGGCGTGTGATATCGATATGGAGGGGCGAGATGAAAGGAATATATTGTATAAATTCATATATCTTCAGACCATTGGAATATACGACTGTGCTACCAAATCTCATGAACTCTTCTACTAGGACTTACACATTTGAAGCAGAAACATCACTAGGAAAGCACCTTCATGCGGAGAAACTGTAAGCTTTTGCTAATATTGCATAGTTAAGAATTAGAGGTGGGCAAACCAGTGGAATGAAAAAAAAAAGGTTCCGTGAAAGTTTATATTGAAAACGGTATCCTATTAGCAGAGTGATTGGTAAGTCTAAGTAGTTCAGATATTATATCACTTAGATAAGTCATGTTGGAAGTTAAAATAGATTGCAGCTGCAGGAGTAGGAGGCTGTTTTTTGTCAATCACTATTTAGCTGTTATAGCACTATAGTAACGATAATCTATGGGAAACAATGACTCTGAAACTTAAGTGTTGGTGAGCTACTTGACTAGTATTGAGTATAATATTAAATATATGTAAAAATACATGTATTTAATATATATTCATAAATTTATAGACAGGTGGGTTTTAAAACATTCATTGTGTGAAAAGATAAAATTACAAAAATAGTGAAAAACTTGGACAAAGATTAGAAAAGGACTCAGCATTTGAAGTTCTAAGTTTAGTTTAAAAGCCGAGTAGTTTATAAGTGTCTGTTTCATTAGAAGAATTCAAGGCTCACAGCTGATTAGGTAAGTGCTAGTAGTATTGATAGTAAGTAATAAGTCCTTTAGCTAGTTGTAGATTGAGATTCTAGCATAATTTTATAAATTCAGTTTAAATACCAAAAGCTGTGTTACTAATACTAAGTATTATTTTAATACTAAGTTAGTTAATACTATTAATACTAAGTATTAGTTACTAATACTAAGTATTAATATTAAGTATTAGTAATAAATGAGAATTCTTGTCAGATACAGTAGGTATTGGTAAAGGATATTAAGAATAGAAAAACTCACCACAAAGTCCAGAATACGAAGAAATTCATGCTCAACTCTGAGTAGTGCTAATTTACTCAATTTGTCATACTAAAATAGTGGCTGGGAATCACTGTTCTAAGAAGAACTTACAGAGCTCTGTATAAGGACAGAATTATTGAAAGCAAATATTCACAGGTGAGCATGAGTGTTTGATATTGTAAACATCTGACAGATGCAGGAAAGTATGTACCATGATGCTTGAACCTTATACTTGAGTACTTTATTTTGTTTAAACACAAATACGGCAATTGAAAGCAGACGAGCACCAATTATTAGCCGAACCACAGCACGACTAAGACAGCCAGTGACACTACTCAAGGCAGGCCAGTTTTAGTCAAGGGGGAGTGCTCTCGTTCCATTTGATTGGTAGTATTCAATGTTATAGGAATCACTCCCCCTTAGTCTGGGCCAGGTCTGAGACGGTTAACATCTAATAATCTGCCTTTTCAGAACATTTTTTTTCAAATAAGAAATAGGTAATATATCTTCATTGGGTACTCCTGTAGTATGTGTACCAAGTTCAGGTTAGGCCATATTTTTATTCCGATTTCCCTTATTATAGTTCTATTACGAGTGCGGTACGAGTATTACGACTGTCTGTGTTAGCTAAGTGAATATAACCCTGCCCATGGGTTTCAGTCCCTTTGCACCACTTGATGTAAAACTGGCGAACAAAATTAGTCACTCCCTTATTGGTACACATACTTCTGGGGTGCCCTTTATTGTACCAACATGAGAATTGAAGTGCAAAATGATTTGTTCTCTATTTTTCATTTTCTTATGCTGTGTTCTTATACGCTTTTCACTTCGAATAAGATTCTGTCACTGGCATTGCTCACCCAATTTTTTACTCCCTGGGTAAGGTGTTGGGCGTTTAAACTTGAGTACCCACCTCAAAAGTTTCATTAAATAAATGAAGAACTTATAGGTCTTATCTTGTGACTTCAATGTTTTAAATGATAATACTTAATACAAATTAAAATTTCAATTGTCCATTTTGGGTATGGGACTAATTAGCCTGTTTCTATTTGGTTTTCAGACGCATGGACTTGATCAATTCTAGTTCTAGTTAGTTAGTTCTAACTTATATCTTATTTTCATAACCTGTTATTCTTCCTTTTCAGTGGGAAAGAAAAAGAAAACACTTCCTATCTGATGTGAAGAAGGGATGAGCCGAGAATAAATCCGGAGGCACTGCATTGGCATAATATTGATTTTGTTTTGAAACTGTGTTTTCTTATTTTATTTCTGTTGATCGGTTAATCAACCTGAGAATATGTGCATATTGAATACAAACTTGTCACATGTTTACTATCCATTCGTCCAAATTTTTTCTTTCTCTGATACCATTTTATGATTGTCGTTGGTGTCCTCCAAGCATGATACAAAACTCATGGGTTAAATAATTGAATTTTTGGTGAATTAGTATTTTTTTTTCCATAGAAAATTGTTGGCTTTGCTTGTATATGTAGCTTATTCCTGCAAGTCTATTTATATTGTTCCCAGTCCATTTTGACTGCCAACTGGACGAGAGGCGGTTTGAGTTAACCACATATGGATTTCATCAGTTCTGGTGCGAATCTGGAAATCCTGTCTTTTGCAGTGGCTCGGAGTTCCACCAGAGTATTTTTTTTATAGTGTGAACCGAGTCTTCATATGATCATTGCGCTTTATTGGTAGTGCGCTACACATCTTGTGGAGTTGCCCTAAAAATCTAATTTCTGTCAATAGGAAGCGAAATACGGAGGAAGCCATTCATATGGCTATTGAGACAATATATCTACGGTCCACACAGAATTTTAGATAGTGTGACTGCCAGCATAATATGCCTGCGACTAAGGAGGCCATTCAAGTGACAATTGGTGGCATATATCCATACGGCTTGAAGCCATATACATCCAACCCTACATCTAATCGTGAATGGTAAATTGTAATACTTCTAACGGCCGACTATGAATGGCACGTAAATAATGTTTTTAATACATTCTACTCGAAACATGGCCATTTGACAATGAATGTCATATGTCAATGCTGTAACGTGTAAGTAGCCTCGATATCTCTTGGCGGGTGATTGATGAGTTAACTCAGTGGACAACGTGCGTGTTGCATTCCATTTTATTCAGTATTTCGTTTGCATGTATTAAGGGTACAATTGGTAAACTCAAATATCAGCAACTCGCTATGACAAATTGATAATGTATGAATATTTGCTGAGTCCTGAGAGATGCATTTTACGTATGCTCGTGGTTTGAATGTAGTAATTCCTTCAATTAAGCCCCCGTAATATTATATTATACTATTATATTGTTTGTTAATCGTCTCGGATGCACAGACATTGATGAGTCGCGTGTCCGTGACTGTCTGACGGCCACGTAAACAGCTCTGTGGCAGCGATGGGTGAATCTACCGACGACTACCTTAGTGGAAACGCGTAGGAGACGTGGACATCACTTATCGACAATCTTCCCACTTCGATCGAGGCAAATCATTTGACTTATTTTAATCCAATATCTAGCTTCTATAGATAGAGGCACCTTGATGGTATTCTATTTAAATCGAACAAAATCGGTTTGATTTTGAAAAACTGGCATTGTGGTTCCACTTGGAATCGGTTTTCATAGATTATTTGAGCCTTCGCTCGATGATTCAGATATTTATTTCGTTGTGCATGAAATATTGTACAGACAAAATTAAACAAATATATGAATAAAAATGTAGAATAACAAACGTACAATATTTCCGCAATTGATGCGGGGCCGCGAAAGACTATAAAGTGTCAGCGACACCTTGTTTGCTTAGTTAGAAGAAGATGAAATCAAACAAACGCTAAAAAGAATTATATCATCATGAATTGAAATAAGCCCACAGATGCTGTATTTTATTTCGTTCCCGTCGCGAATTCACGCTCGGCTTTGGGTATGGACAAATGTTTACGCTCTTAGACATTAGAATTTCACCTACGTCAATAGGAAAAGGAGAGCAAATGCAAATTCAATTATATCTCGTTCGTATATAAAACCCATCGCCGAATAGGCCAGTCCCTCGCACATTTTTTTATGCTTGTTATTAATTTTGTATTGTTGTGGGGACTTGCTCAGTGGGTTGGTGTAATCGGTTCGAATTTTTTCTGTTAAAATTGGGTAGTCCCGAAGTATGTGTGCCAGGCTAGGGTTGGGTCATAATTTTATTCTGATTCGCCTTATTTTAGTTCTATTTCGGGGACTGTCTGTGTATATTCCCCTGCCCATAGGTTTCAGTCCCTTTACACAACTTGATGTAAAATAGGCGAACAACATTAGTTACCTCCATATTGGTACACATACTTCTAGATCGCCTAAAATTAGATATCCATCGGACCCTGCGCCACTTACCAACCGACTTTCAATATACAGTTTCATTTTACGTCTACGTTACTTTGGGGTTCCGGTTAGTTACACAAGCGTAACATTTCTTTTTATATTGACGTGTTCACATTTCAACATACCGTATTTGCTCGTTTTGTAGCCCGGGCCCATATTTTTTTCAACCAACTTACTAACAGGGCCCTTATTCAAACCGGCCCTTATTCAAGCACGGACGCTTGTTATTTTCGATCGTTACAATAATTAATATATTGTTATTTCCAGTTCTAAAGTATGATTTAAACGAGAGTAACGAAAATTTTGACTTTTTCTACGCACCGCAGGTACAAATCCGCAAAAGAAGAAAAGTTTTGCGACGCCCTATCAATATTGAAACGACGCGACGCCCAGTTTGAGAACCATGGTGTTACGTAATCAATGCTATCTGTTATGTACTTGGACGCCTAAGGCGTGAGTGTTATCTACCGGCTCTTGAAATTCAACAGCGTTGTGACAAAAGCGCTTCTTATTTCCTGTTGTTCTCTACCACTAAAAAATCACCTTTGTCAATATGCATTTATTGACCTCCGCAGGGCGAATATGCCCTTTGGTTTGAAAAAAATTACATAAAGAGGAAAATTAGTATTAATTATTGACGAGGTTGCCAAAGCGCATTAAAATCAGAATTGTCCACTGCAGGGCGACTTTTTGAGCGAATGATTTTTCTGCTGCGCAATAGGATTTCATAATTATCCCGGAGAAGAAATAAGATACCGAAAATACGAGGGTATTTCTCGCGAAGCAATTTTGAAAAAAAAAAAAAATTTTTTTGCGGTCCGATAACCTTGCAACCTTGGACCCTGTTTTGAACCATGGTTTCATTCGCTCGTAAATTTGACTGTAATTCAAATTCAGTGATTTCGCTTTAGTTTCTGAAGGTAACCAAGCTGAGTGCGTGCAATAGGCCCACGAAAGTTTGGCGATTTGCCATGTTACGGGTTCAGTCCTTTAATTTTACATTGGACGCACAGTTCCGAGCGAGAAAAACACTTTTTATCGACGTCCTCGTGTAACGAATTGTACTTGCGCAAAGAGATAATACGAAAACAACATACGAAAATGGAAATTCAGATTACCGATTTCCACGGCCGAAATAATCACGTCTCGCTGACGAAAACAATCAGTGATTCTAATAAAAGTAGAAAACGCATCATTAGAATGGGATTTGACCTCAAAAACCTTGCTGGCTGCGTCAATTGTCCACAGATACTCGCTAGATTTGTGAAGTCTACAAGACTACAACAATGCTCTCAATACACTTTTTAGCTACAATTTTGCGCAGAGCATGGTCTCAAGCTCCCGAGCTTTATCAATATTCCTATTATCGTGTATCAGATTCATGAGTGCCAGTTGATATTGGTTGACAAAATATATTCAAATTTAACCCTTCCCCCCATGAAGATAAATCGGCGTAGGAATTTTTCCGACAAGTGCCTTGTTTGGATTGACATTCTATGACGTCAATGTTAGCTTTATCTTGCTCGTATATTTTTTTCTTTCAATTTTGAAATAATCTTGAAAACGTTATTAATAAAATCTAGCTCTAAAATTTGCTTGTGGTTCCATAACAGATGTAAATTGTCATTAGAGTTCTATTTTAAACACTGTTATTTGCGGACACCAACTAAGCTGTGTTTGCTAACCACCATTTCGTGGGGCTGAATAATTTCAGAAAAATAAAACATGTGCAAATTAATTACAAATTCTGATTTTCAGATTTTTGTATTATTCAGAAATTTTGTATGCTAAGTTTGTGTACGAGATGCATCAAAAATTATACAATTGAAACGCCCAAAATATCTTTTTTAATTACTTCAAGTACAAAGCTGCCCGATATTATATACTCAAATTAATCTTTATAATCATAAAAACCTACCGATAAACATCTCTGAGAAATATAATATTTATGTGCACTCCACAACACTGATCTGCTAAGATTCATTTTTCTCTGCAATTCTAATTCATACACGAAATCGATTCCTCTATTTCATTTTTATTTCTTATCAGGTTCAAGATCATATTATATTTAAATGAATGACTGCATTTAATTTACAATAAAATCAGTTTTAATAAGTAATTTACATTCATGTACAAAAATTATTGCCATTCAAAAATATGGTCGATGCGTATACACGTTGCAAAGCATACTGTATGATTGGAGCATTTCATGTCAGGAGATCGCACTCAGGAGTCAAGCCGAAATTTATGTACATTGCTCGGACGCCACAACTCAAAACTTAACTATGCTATATGGACTCTCGGATCTCAATGGAATTTTGTACTGTCGGAACCTTAGAGTATAACGGAACCCCGGTTGAAACACTGATCTGGTTTAATTCTGGAGTTATCACCCAGTTACTTTAAAGGTAGGGTTATCATATCTTTTGACTAAAAAGGGGGACGTCATCCCAGCTGTCTCCATTGATCATATTGTCATCGAGAGTTCATGCGCATATTTTCTGTCTAAATATCGGGTTCAGTTCGAAAAAAGAAAGGAATAGATGCTAACGATACAAATGATCCGAATTTAGATTTTTTTATGTACAGCAAAAGGAATAAAGAATAATAAAATAGTCGGCCGTTTTCAAGCATTGAGAATTTACTTATTCGCCCAAGCATGCTTTTCTGTAGATAACATCTTCAAGAAGACGTAGTTCGACGTTACATTCACGTGAACGTCCGAACAGGACCAATTAGAATTGATTTTACAAGGGGTACGTTCGCTAACATGGTTAACGGGAAAAATGAAACAAACAAATAATTCATCTTCAGAAAGTAGGCTAGCGTTGCGCTACACGGCAACAATAGTAACGAGAACGTGTTCGTGTTTTATACTGGATGGCTGAACGCCAAAGCGGGACTTTTGGCTGACTTGTCAGGACGGCGGGACAAGACACTAAAAAGCGTGACGTATGGTAAGCCTATTTAAAGGTGATAAATATTCTCCTTTGGAAATTGTTAGTTTTTTTAGAGGAGTATAATATAAAACTTTTAGTCTATCAGCTCCACAAAGTTTGATGGGAATGCGCCCTTTCGTCCATTGCAGATTCCAATCCACCGACCGTCTGCTAGGCAGGTCATGTCCGTTATAATTTCTCCCCTCTGTAAGCTCATTTCGTCGAGCTTCTCTAAAAAATAAATGAACGAAAGTATATCTGCTTCACACTTCATTTTAAAATAGTGAATATAAACTGCCATAAGCCGTGGTCACTGACCATTCAAAATATTATTGGGACCTCATCCGACCGTCGTCGGGTGCGGACGTGTCAGCTGGAAAAGACTAGTGAATGCTACGCGTTGTATGTTTCGGTATCTGTATCACGTAATATCAACATGAGCAAAGACCATCCTCTGGAATTAAAGAAGTTTATGGATAAAAGATTGGATCTAAAGTTAAATGGTGGACGGTCTGTTGCGTGTATATTGCGAGGTTTCAATCCTTTCATGAATTTACACGTGGATGATGGAACAGAGCGTAGAAAAGATGGGACCATTGCACTTGTTGGAATGGCTGAATGATGGTCGTTCGTGGAAATTCGATATTAATGTTGGAAGCATTGGAACGGATACAATGATTTTAAACTGAACTAACCGAAAACGACAAATGAACCCAACACCCCAATCCATGATTTGTGCATAGACTGCTATGGAATATTCAATCCATTTACCAAGCTTGAATTTAGTAAAAACATTTGTCACTGTGTTATTTTGCAACGTATTGAACTGGGCCTACAGCATCACCATTTTTCGGCAGCGAGTGTTCTTTGATCCATATATCTGTAGGAAAAGCACATACACGTCTCACATTTTAATTTGAATTTATAAGATATTTTCCGATGTCACATCGTGTTTTTTGTTTTATTGTGTTTTGACTGTTTCTGGGGGTCGGGCACGTACTTGTACATATTTAACTTTATTATTAAGTTATGCCCGTCCTCCAGGTCCTCTGTATTGTGTTTGTCCTTTGTTGTTGTTTTGTTTTTTGTTTGTATCAGTGTGACCAAATAAAATTGATTGATTGATTATTAACGCTCACCGTAGCGTAAGTGGCTCAATTAAAAAAATGGATGCGCTGTCTGACCGCCAGTATCTTGTAGCATAGATAGATTCTTCCGCTAGTTGGCGCTGTGGAACAGTTTATTGAATTACATGTTAATGCACCACAATTACTCTGTTGAGGTGACGTAATCGACCGTATGTTGCAAGGTTTTAGAAGTTTCTGGCTGATGAGTTGTTTTGGCATTGCATGTAGATCGTGCTTTTAGGAAAAATTTTAAAACAATTTTTAAGGGATTTCGTACAGCACATTTAAAGCTGTGGTGATTAAAAGGAATCGGATATACATGAAATCGGAAAATTTCATATTAATCAAATGCTATCTACATCAGTGGATCACAATTGCTGGTGCAAAACGGCATCCGCGAGCGCGTTCAAATATTTTCAAATTGCGCCAATATTCAACTTCTACACTCTACACCAACGATGCACAATCTGCGGCCGTCATGAAAAAATAAAGCGGCCGTCCACATACAAAATCCTAATAACAAAAAATGAAAAAAAGTTCAAAATATAGGATTTAGCGGCTATGCTGGCGTATATTGAAGCAAAACAGAAGCACTGCAAAAAAGTCAGACGACACAATGCGTCACAATCTGGATGGTGTATTTGCTGTTGGGGATTTCCCTTCACGGATTAGCTTGATCACGCGTTTCGGCAGCCTAGCAACGTAGCAAGCTAGCCTTTGCAAGGCATCCGCAGCTTACAGCCGAGAAAATTGTAGCAGTTTTATTTGATTCTGACTCTGATTTGTATGACAAGCTTGATAGTGATTCTGTCGATTGGCCAACTTATCAGTGAAGACTACCATTTCAAATTAGGTCTAATTAAGCTTGCTGTTAGCAACCAGATTTTGTTTATTACAGCACTAGTCTATATTAAACTGTCTAAAACTTTTAATAATTACTTAATGTCGTTAAAACGGAAAAGAACAGTGGCAGAAGAGGGAAGGGCATTTAATTCCAAATGGGAGATAGATTACTTCATGATCGAGACAGCAGCACATACCATGATGTGTCTTATATGCAGTCGACTTTCGATTTTTTCAAAACTGTGCAACCATTATGCAACTTGCTGCAATATATCTGCCCAAGAATAGGTCCACCGAAAAGAAAAATTCGTTTAAAATGCAAATAATATACTTCCAAGTAGTCCTACATACTTCGTAATTGGGCAGACTGCACCTCGCATGGGTCAAATACGCGGTTATGACGTCATGAAAGACAAAAAAAATCGCGCTTTTCGGCGCGCTCATCAACCCCCTAGCAGCCGTATTGAATACGAATAAATGCAATGTGGCCGTCAATAGCAAAAAGGTTGTGCACTCCTGGTCTACACGAATGTATAGGTGTAAGTGTAAACGTTTGTTACTTTGAACTATTTGTTGGCGCTTTGTGATTTTGTTGTTATAGTCTGTACAAAACGGCTTCATTGATATGCGGTAAGCTTCCGGACAGTAAACTATATTTCTAAAAGATTCGAAATATCCACTTTGTGGTATTTCTTTTTGCTTATAGCTGTTTCCCGGACGATATTGACTTGAGCCACAAATTTTTCATTTTATACCTGTTGCTAAGCAAGAATGTCAATCGTAGGCCTATAACATAATTCTTCTATCCGTGTCATTTCAAATTAAGCTGGGTGCTCGCGACTTTTTTCAAACAAATTTTGTATAAAACAGAAATGAAAGTCTTACCTTTGTCATAGTCAAAAAGTACTCGTGCTCTCTTATTTGCCAGGTTTGATTTACTTGCACCATATGCACCTAGAATAAAATTTTTCTATTTGCTTACATTGGCATAATTTTGTCATGTCTCTAATTGAGGGGTGTAAAACTACTTTAGCTGATATTGATTTTTCTGCTGTGGAAAAAAGTTAGTTCGTAAAAACCTCTCGAATGTCATTCCATAATAATTGCTACGTATTGCTAACTGCTCAATAAAATACAAGCAGTATTACTCAACAACCCCAACGCAATCTGCGGGCGCTGACATGTGTGGTTGATTTCGCAGTTATAACTAGCTTTGATTCCGACTTGTGAATTTGCCAAATTTCGTGAAACACCGACTCGCCTATCCAAACCCTGGAGGATATCATTGCCCGCTTTGAGTTGAAGATTAAATTTAGAGGCAAATTAAGTTTACAAATTAACGACCTTAAAATACCGTTTCCCAGTATTAATATTTCCTTTTTGGTGGTCGAAAATTTGAGTTACGAGTTCAATTCTTCAGCGTTTCAGTGATTGCATATTAAATTTGATAATTATCAATGTCCTAATGACACAAAAGTTATACTTACCGCAATAAATTGCGAGATAAAAATTTGTAAAATAGGTAAAACTATCGAACTGATAGCTTCCCAGACAAATGTTAGTCGACGGCCGAAATATTCTCTCCACCCTTACGATAACAATGAGGGATTATAACCAATTAGCCACATGGCGCTTTTCTTTTAGTCTAAAATGACACTTCTTGTATGAGTAGCAATACTTTATCAATACAATTTGAGGTTGTGGCAATTTGAATGTTGGTTTGAATATAACTTTTGAGATATCAAACAAAGACTCTTGCATTTTCTTCAAAACTTATTATTTTGTTACAAGCAAAGCAACGTGGTTGTAGTTACAGAGGAGAAATTTTGTCCCAGGCGCGCCGATTTGGTGTTTGTATGGTCATAAAAAATTTCAATATTTCGTGTCAGTAAAACGACACTCAAAAAAGGACGCATTAAGTCGAAATGTGTACAAAGATAAAATGTATCAGTTTTACTTTTGTTGAATTTGAAGAGTGCCTTCACTGTCTTTTTCAGCGGTGATTTTTTTTCTTTATCCAGTGAGTCTGCAAACATTAAATACCAAACATTAATTACTAAAGGATCTGTTATCCATCTAATCCAAATTTGGTATGTGATGTTAAATCGCAAAAATCTTTTCAAAAATAACATTCAGACTGGGGGTCCTAAAATAATTCTTAAAAATATGAATAACAAATACGATAAACATTTTGAAGCCGCAATTTGAAACTTTCAACCCAATACGGTGTTTAGAAAACATCTTTCCTCTTTGTATATAAAAATATATTTGCGAAAAAAATTTAATTCACATATAATTTTGTTCGAAAATATAAATCACATTGCAGCGGACCTTTTTCTTCAGTGCTGACGCTAGCCCCATCGGTCATAAGGGTATTCAGTGAATTCTGAAAAGAATATGTAATGCAATGAAATGAATACTATAACTCGATAATGATTCACTGATAATTTGATCTAATTTTGTTGCCTGAAATCGGTACGTTTTAAATGTTTATTTTTATAATTTATTTTTCAACATGTGCATACACATACGGTGCATAGTTCATGTTTAGAATCTGTACGTTTAAAATTCAGATATAGATATTTTGTTAAACTAATAGTAAAATTTATCATACGTTGAGTGAATTTAGCGTTTGACATCTATAGGTTTTTCTCATGGAAAAAGATTAGAACAGCGACATTATCAGCCTATTCATTTGTTTTGTTTACCGCTAAATATTCAAACGTTGGTCTTTTAGCTGGATCCTTGTCCCAGCAGTTAAGCATGACATTGTAAAGTCGTTCAGGACATGATGCTGGTCTTGGAATTCGATACCCTTCATTAATCTTGTCTCGAACTTCCCTTATGGACATTCCTATAAAAAAGTCCATTCATTAATTGAGAGTACACACGGAAATAATAAAAATGCGAACTACCGAATTCGCCCGGTTTTGTAGCATTTTGCAAAGATTTTAATATTGTCCATTTAATTATTTTAAAAGAATTTTTCAACTTTGAACTTTCTGAGAAGAACAATTGGCAGGATATGGTCGAAAAAAGCGCTCTTTACCACGTAACACCTAGATAAATAAAGTTAACATAAAGAACGGAAAAATTTTAAATTATTGTAATGCACAAAAGTTACGGTTAGCGGGGCTACATGATATTATCATTTAGTCACTGGGAATGTCCAAACGAATCGAATATTTGAAACTCTGAATTTGCAAATTCCGTAGATACTGTCCTGATTATCTCGGCAAATATTTAGATATGATAATGGTTGTGGACATTAAAAATGCATTTGCATTGAAACAGAAGACATCGAGATTGCGCGAATATGGTATTGGAAGCTGTTGGTAATTTTTAACTCCAAAGAGTCCAAACACTCAAAGAGATATCGATACTCTTTGAGACCTCTATATTTTTTGATCAGTTTAGGCAGTAAGGCATGGGGTCTCATAATAAACATTTGAAACATGGTTAGGCAAAATTTTAGATGCAATTGGACATGTGTTATCACAAGTTCAAAGTTTTTGTTACACAATGGAGAAAGATTTATGATTGTGCATTATTATTCGATTATTTGACTTCAATTTAAATATAAAGATATTCGCCCTATTTGTCACATATTTGATGAATACAAATTGAAGAATTTATCAATTGAATTACCATATTATTTTGGGTAATGAGGTAAATATTGTGCAATGTCACGGAGTGCTTACCGGGATATGGTGGCTGTCCTTTTCTCAGTAACTCAGTCGGAAGCACACCAAAACTCCAAACATCTGACATATGTGAAAATTTTCCGTACAAAAGGGATTCTTGCGCTGCCCACTTGATGGGATATCTGGTTTCACTAGTAGCCTCCCATTCTCCTTTACTTGCCTCCCACTTCCCATCGTTTCCAACATATTGAGCAAAACTGAAGTCGAACAGTTTGCACGACATGTTTTTCCCGACGGAAACGGACTTGGCGCGTAGATTTATGAAAATTGTTTGTTCTTGTTCCAAATACGCCATTCCGGAAACAATCTGTCAATAAAGTATTTGGAGGCTTTAATTAAAAAAAACATTGCGGTCAAATAACGTTACAACTCAATTTTGACTTTCAACGCAACGCAATAAACACCGTGCGACAAAATACAGTGGAAGAAATGTTCGAAATATGAAGATACTCCCTCCAAAGCATCCAACTGATGACCCCCCCCCTCCCCCCTCCGGTTGCACTCGTACGAAGATCCCTTTTCTAGAGAGGTTTTGGGCCGGCCTTAGTTCAATAAAACAAAAAGTGAAATACTTTAGTCATTTATACCAGCATGTGACTACTGGGAACAGTGCTATAACTATGTTTATGACATAACAGTGCTATAAAACTATTCCCTGATGCAAGAATTAGTTAGTTATGTCTATGACCCACATTCTTTCACCTTTTCACGTGATAAAAATATGTGCGACCCGTTTAGTGAAACAACTTCGTAATCTTTTTATCTAGCATGTTTATTTACATTTTAGTGTTTCATTGTCAATTTTTGGGCTTGTTATTTTGTCACTTTGGGCAACCTGCTCATTTGAAAAAAAAAAATAGTAAGAAGTTTAACGAATTTAGATTTGAAGAGATTCGATTAGAAAAAAAAAATGAATTCAGAAGTGGCAACTGGCAACCCTATTATCTGCCATTAACACCCTCGAAAATGTCTGTTTGTTCCCTGATTTAGTAAGAACTTACTTGAGTGGCCATGCGTATTTGATCGTTTAATGTGGAATATCGGCCTTGCCCATGTTCAAGAAAATACGACAAAGTGCCATATTTCCTATACTCTAGGAGCAATATCTTTTTATCTGCACAAATGAAATAAAATCGCAATTATAAATCAACAAAGTTTAGACACGCGTGGAAATAATGAATTCCAAATATGTAACACGGTCACGAGAAAGATCCCACGATGGTAACAAAGATATAAACTATATATTAAAATGTCTAATCGGCGGTGTTTTACAAATTTTTATCACGAGTTGAGGATGCGTGATATTAAATAATTAAGCCAACGACTTCACTTTTACAATACAAGATGTCTCCTTTTTTCGCTTTGTCGGAGAACGAGATGGGTGGATGGATACGGAATTAGACTTGCTTCTAAATAAGACCGTGAAATATTAAGTTTATGATTATATACTGCACTTACATGTCACGGCACCGTATAATTCCACGATGTGCTTGTGAGAAAGTTTCTTCAAGATGTTAAACTCATTCGAAAACGTCATTCTGCCAAGCTCGGTTCCTGGCTTCCAGATTTTGATAATCGCTTGTCGTGAACCGAAATAACCTGCAAAATTACTTTATCCATGAACTTGGTTGAAAATTCATAATTATCACTGAATAGAATACTTCGAAAACAGAAATAGCGCCATTTAGTCCATATATGTCTGCTGCGAATATCACTGGAAAAGATAGCTGTATTTATTGGACTGGTTTTGTACTGTTTGTTTGGATATGCTTGCCTATGTATATTGTTTCGTGTTGAACAGGATTTTTCTTAAATTGATTTATAAGCTAATGAAATGAATTTCAATAAAGCAAATTACCGGTTTTACTTTTTTAGTAATGGTTATAAACTCCAAGCCCTGACTGAAAACTGTTAATGAACAGATATCTCTATTTTTTCACAAACTATAATAATTCTGAAAATCTAACCCTTGTTCTAACATCCCACTTCTAACTTCCTTCGGACAATGTTTGTTTTGTACACAATAAACTAGGGCCTTTCCCTGACGTGATATAACGAAGTCGATTTCCTTCCTATAAGCGTTTCATTAGAGGACTAACTTTGGATATTGCAACCGCTAGAGTATGCCGATGAGTTACTGAAATTAATATATTTTTATTGTTATTTTATGTATTGTTACTGCTCCCAATTATTTGTTTCTTTATTTTTTCATCGAAAGGTTTTGTAGACTCGATGACGAAGCCACCCTTTCTTCACAACTCCTATCATTTCCATATTTCAGAAACTTTATTGTTGTAACTTGTTGATTGCTCACGTGATAAATAAATAACTCATAGACATATATTGCATGATAGGCTAGTTAGTAGATCTCATCAGCATGCGGCATCCAGTTCTCTATACTTTATACCGCGAGACACCAATCAGCAATTCTAAATATTCATGTAATCTCCTATGCTCCTATGGATCTTTCGACGAATGATTAAACGTTATTGAAAGTATTACTATTCCACTAATTTTACTATAGTCTTCACGAGTACGCAGTAACACAGTCACGCCCTCAAATGCGTGTCAAAAATTTACTTCCGTTAATTTCAATGGATTGTAGTGTTTTTATTTTGTAGTTCAGTTCCCAATACCTATCTATATACACGCTTTATAAATTAGAGTCAAAGTCGACACAACTTCTTTTATCTTGAACGCAATTATTATGGTATGACTTTTAAAAGTTTATTATCGGCTGGTGGCCATGGTTCGTTTATTTCCAAAAATCATCATCAACTGAAAATTCAGTATTTGAAGCGTAGCGTAATAGCGGCTGTCTTGGTGGTTTTAGCAGGCGTTACATGAGAATTTCTTGGACTGGATTTTCGGGGTAATACCGGTTATAAGCTTACGACAATGAACACTGCTTAATGGCATATTAGGACATATACTTAAATATTACTGACAAGATTATCAAATAGTGTGCGTGACTACTACATATATACAATAAGGCAATATACAAAACATTGTATTCTGAAAATGTTAGCAAACATGTCATCGATAATTAGTAACTGCCATATTCAAGAACTCGACATACCTTTCCATATTTCTGCAACTGGCGTGGGACAGATCTCGCTCTCTTTAATAATTTTATTTTCGATGTTAGGAACCCATATTTGGTCTCGATTTGCTTCCGTTGAGCCTGAAACACATAACAAATTAGAAACGAAGACAGCATACGTATTCAGTTTTCGATTTGTTGAAATTTTGTGATATATAATCGAGATCATAATAACATCAGAACTGCAGCTTTGCAGAACTTTTAAGCCAGAAACTGAGACTGAAGCCACGAATATATACATGTTTACAAAGCGGTCAGAATTAATCATATATGACAAAAATGGTTTTTAAATAATGCTCCTCTAACTCAACGTTTCCAGCCGAATTTATCAATTTGTGGGAAACTTTATATGCGTAGAAAAAATAGAAAAGAATGAAGTTCTTTCAAGTTACCCGATGCCTCCTCATAGTTTCCAGCGGCAGAGTCTCGGAAAGTATTGAGAGTACTAACATAAGTGGTCATAGATTTGTTTGTCTTGAGGTAACCTTAAAAAAGCAAAATAATCTCAATAGAAAATATATACACTCTGGTATTTACCTGATCTTGCTGAAAAGAGATTAAGCATAGCAAAATGAAAAAAAAGTTCTTTGATTAACCGCAGCCCCAGCAATTAGTGAGCCTCCGGATTACTGTCAATGCAAAATGGTAAATAATTTTTGATGAAAAAATCGCGGCCCGCCGAAGAGTAGTAGATTCGACTTTTGCCCGCTACTAGCTAAAGGTTGCCGACCCCTGTACTACATGGATAGATAAAAGGAAAATGTGGTAACTTAAATGTTCCCATAATTACGAATTGATAAAGTAGAGATTAGACTTCCTGTGGGTGTTTTTTTTTGTCAGATTAGTTAACTTTTAAAATTTTCAGAAAATTCAATTTGATGTCGAACAATAAGAGTCAAACCCAATGAGAGTGGTCGTCAATACATACATATATTTATATATATATAGTTATCTGAAAGTTGCCATACTCTTAATGCGGTACTGAGTAGAATTGAGATTGGGAAGGCGGGTCGCTAAAATCAGTTTTGACAATTTACCCTTTTAAAAATATGCTTGACGTTTGATATGATCTTTACATAGTTTGCTCAATCACACATACTGTGTAGTTCTAACTACACAAAGTCCATAAGCATTGTTAGAATTTAGGGTACGCCCGTAGTATGTGTACCAGGTTAGGATTAGGCCATAAATTTATTCCGATTTTCCTTATTTTAGTTCTATTACGAGTTCGGGGACTGTATGTGTTGGCCATGTGAATATCGACCTAAATATAGGTTTCAGTCCCTTTACACAACTGGATGTAAAATTGGCGAACAAGATTGGTTACCTCCATATTGGTACACATACTTCTGGGGCGCAGAATTTAGAATAGAAGATGTATAGAAATAATTACTTTCTCCGTGTTGTTTGAAGACATCGTGCTGCAAGATTTCCGAGGTTGTTGGTCGTTCGGAGGGGTTTTGCTTCAGCATCGTGGTTAGCAAAGACTTTCCTTGATCGCGGTCTGGTATTTGCAGTTGATCGAGGTTCATATTTTTATTGCGTTTCATGTAGTGATTCCAAGAGTGGGGGTCATTGCCGAAAACGTGTCTACCGTGCGACCAAACATAACCGAATATCAGCGCAAGTGAATATACATCAGATCCTTTGCCAATATCCTCGGCGCCCTGGAGCAACTCAGGCGAACGCCAGCCATCAGTACCAGGCTGAACTAAACTTTGAACTGTGAAATCAGGCCCACTGGTCATTATTTTCGAAAGGCCGAAATCGCAAAGTTTCACCACATTCCCAGAGAGCAACACGTTGTGCGGTTCAAGGTCGCGATTCAGAACATCATTATTGTGAAGGAAGTCTAACCCCACAGCAATTTGAAACGCGAAAGATATGTATTTATCAGCGTCAAATGGAATCTCCTCCTTTACTTCCAACTCAATATAATCGTAAAGATTCAATGGATCGCACTTCTCCATTGCGATGTATATACATGACTGACCGTGATACTTGAATGTATCGGTGAACAAGCGCTCGACAATATTTACATGATGAGGAACAGCAAAATGAATTTGCGCTTCTCGTCGCTCGCGCTCGCCATCGCGTAAAATTTTAACCGCAATTTCGCGATCACCAACAACACTACTACGCAAGGTTGCGTGAAAGATTCGCGAAGCAACGTTTATGGGGTTTTCTTCAGAAACTGCGATAAGCGGGGTCAAGTTGAAGTGACCTGAAAAATAAAAACGCAGAAGATTAAAAATAAATGTAATGTAATATAGCAGTTACTTTACAGCAGTGGTTCCCAACCGCTGCCCCGCGTTCCCGCAACAGCATTTTATTGTCAGTCCGCTAGAATTTTGTTGTTTCAGCTGCCAGACACTTGGTTGACAAAAGGACGAAGTTACGTTCATTTGTTAGGTGATTTATTTTACGTGTTGAAACAATTTTAGGTTCCGTCAATAAAATGTTTTGGTAATTATCTCTCATGTCTTAGATCTAAACATTTAATCCACATTGCTAATGTGTGAAACGTACTATATTCCACTCTGGATACAGCGAAGTACCAAAAAGTAAGAGGATATTTATTACCCATGCTAAAATTCATGCTACTATTGAATACTGAAATACCGGAAAAATATTGTCAAATTATTTAACTTAAACACCCCGAGCCAGTATTTTCATTGTTAGGATAGCAGATAAAATCCGAATTTTCATTTAAATACAAACTATTTTTTTTTCAAATTTAATTCAAGCACTGTCGAATATTATTCCTCATACTATTAAATATTAAATAAATGTGCAAAACAGTAGAATCCATAAAAAAATAACATAAATATTTTTCAGAAAAGCGCCTTTACAGAGATTTTGTAAAAGCATGTAAATTCAATCGTCCTTGGTGCAGTTTGCAGTTGCAAATGTTGTGTCAGCACTATCTAGTATTGAACAGAGGCACTATATACATTTGCACCAGCGCTATGTATTATTGGCCTTGTGCTAAAACATCGATTAGGCTTACGATTGAATCTCACCTTCGACCCCATACGTATTTGTAGACGCTGTGAAAATAAGTAAATAACTAAATAAATGCATTTCAAATTCCGTAGGTAAATAACTACTTATCCTTCTTCTATGCTTTTGTGTCAACGGATCCGTATGCATATGATGCAAGGATGCTGTAACAAGAGTAAAGATACCTATCCTAAGTGATTCAAGAGCCTTTGTGTTAGTGTGCGTAAAGATGCCATATTAGCAGTATAGGCTGGGGTTACAATATTTTGAAGTGCTAAAATTTTCAGGCCATTTTTGCTGCTTTTAATTGATGCTTTTGAGTATTGGTAATTGCTATTTATCACAAGGCTAAAACAAACATCAGTTATTGGATGGGTATGAGTAGTAATTTGAAGTCAATTGTAGTTTTTATTCTAAAAGCACTAGTTCCAAAACTGAATTTAAAAAGATTCGAGTTATCATTGCGCGAAATAAATTGTAATCTTCTAAGACTACAACGTTAGATTATGGTCGGGATCGAGTTATTGGCTATTTACCTTGATCATATTTGTTGATCACAGTCTTGTTGACAATTTTATCGCCAAAAACTGAGCGGCGGAAATCCCCACCTTCAACTATAACACCTCTAGATGAATCTTGAAAAAATGTTGAAAAGTTTTATTAGTAGAAGTAGTAGCTTGATTCTTCACAAGAGATTCTATATTTCCAGAATTCTATAGTTCTGTCTGGCAAAAAAATCCAATTATCAGTGGGCGGCAGAACTCTGAACCTCAATTGGAAAGTGCGCAGTTACCGGAGGGGTTATGTCGACCCCCCCCCCCTTTTTTTTTGAATTTATCGAACACCGTCGGTAAACTATATTATCGCAATTTCTCTACAAGTATCTCTCAGCCCGTTACGTCTTGTGCTACGGAGATGATAACTGGGCGTTCAATTTAAAAAACTAAGTTGGAAACTATACAATAATCACTGAAGTAAAGAAAATGAAGATTTAAAATATTTTTTTTTTATATGGAACGCACTAACAACAGGTTTCCTCATTACCAAAAAACCGCATGGCGCATCGTGCCAAGCGTTAAGAATGCTCGCCACTGGTTTGCAGGATCGAATACCGCTCAGGGATAGTTATGTGCGAGAGGATTGCTGGACACTTCGCCGCCGTAGAGTGGTTCACGTAAGCCAGGGGTGACGAACCCGTTTGCTACCGCGGGCCATTTTATCAGTCACTGCTGAGCAAGCGGGGTGCACAACATTTTATTCATACTATGATATCTATATTAATTTTCATCAACAAAAACCAGGGATCACCAAACTACGACCCGCGGCGTCATTTTATCCGGCCCGCAATAACACGCAAAAAGGCGAATTATTTTTTCGAAGGGAAATTTCCCCGAGCATCGCCTTCTCTTTTTTTTCGTAACATCGGCCTTTTTAATAATAATAGGCCTTTTTTGCATCCGCTGAGATACTTTTGTTTTGTCACTCTGACAGATTTTCAGTCGTGGTTGTGAACAATACTTCCTTTTTTGCGATGAATGCTATTCGTTAGTTTTTGGTTGTATTTGGGAAATTTAAGTATGAATCAAATACGTCAATCATCATTCGCCTCCTTAGGAGTTGTAGGTTTAATAGTAGTAATGAAAAATTAGTCTAGAAATAGCTGTGACAAAATAGGCTAAAATTCTCTACCGGTACGCAACGTTTTCTGCGGAAGATGTACTCGTGGCGCGTGCTTTCGACGAAACTGTTTACGTTTCTTGTGCTAAAATGAACGTCGAATGTGCATGTTGCGCTTACGGTACTGTAATCCCTCGTGTACTGCTCCAATTTCACAAGTCTTTTTGTACTGCTAAAATGCGGATATTCATGTAGGTATTTTGCAAAAAAAATTAAAGTTTATCCGATTTAAATAAAAACCGCGCCAGTAGATCTGAGTGAAAATAAGAAAACAATACCAAGCTTATAAAAAACGATCAAGAAATAACGGAGATATCGGAAATTTAGTACCATCAGAAAGGCCATATTACTTTTTTTCAAGAACTGTAATAAATATGAAAAAAGAACACATATCAATCACTAGTCTTTCGATCTGCGTCACATATATGTAGGGTTACCATATTTTTGTGACTTCAAATCGGGACGCCTCGAAAGACAACGACCCCTTAGCTGTGATTTTATAACTTCACATTTTCCGATTTTACTACATAGGCCTACATTCCTACATTTAAAGCTGTCTCGGCTGTCTTTGTTGACCATATTGTTATCAAAATTTCATGCGCATATTCTCTGTCCAAATATCGGGTTCAGTTCGAAAAATAGGAAGGAATTGACGTTAACGATACCTGTACAAATAATTCGAATTAGGACTAATTAGGCTTCCCGCTGCTTGTCAGCAGGGAACCTATTGTATTCCTGTGTTTTATTATTATTATTATTTATTTATTATTATTTATTTATTAGGCTTCCCGCTGCTTGTCAGCAGGGAACCTATTGTATTCCTGTGTTTTATTATTTATTATTATTCATTATTATTATTATTATTTATTTTTATTATTTTTTTTTCAAATTGGTCCTACAAACTTGAAATTCACCTCAAATGTGCAGAAGTTCTCAACTAGCAATAAAATGCAAATTTTATGCATGACTGACCACGCTTTTACGCTCCAGTGAGAAAAACGCGTTTTCAGTTTTTTGCGATTTCTCAAAATTGATACATGCTATTGGGTTGAAATTCATAACAATGATTAATGGACTTGTTCCGGATACGATATGTCAAGGATACGCATGAGTGACCTCGGCGATACGCTCCAGTGAGCAATATAGGATTTTCATCTTCTCCTCGTGAACGACACTACTTAGAGACTTGAAATTTACATCACATGCAGATAATAAGTCCCCCATCATAAATTGCAAATTTTATGCATGACTGACCACGCTTTCACGCTCCAGTGAGCAAAACGCGTCTTCAGTTTTTTTGCGATTTCTCAAAATTGATACATGCTATTGGGTTGAAATTCATAACAATGATTAATGGACTTGTTCCGGATACGATATGTCAAGGATACGCATGAGTGACCTCGGCGATACGCTCCAGTGAGCAATATAGGATTTTACATTTTCATCTTCTTCTCGAGAACAACACTACTTAGAGACTTGAAATTTACATCACATGCAGATAATAAGTCCCCCATCATAAACTGCAAATTTTATGCATGACTGACCACGCTTTCACGCTCCATTGAGCAAAATGCGTCTTCAGTTTTTTTTACGCGGGAAGCCTGTTAAAGCTGCACGCAGCTCTAGTTATTATTATTTATTTTTATTATTTTTTTTTCAAATTGGTCCTACAAACTTGAAATTCACCTCAAATGTGCAGAAGTTCTCAGCTAGCAATAAAATGCAAATTTTATGCATGACTGACCACGCTTTCACGCTCCAGTGAACAAAACGCGTTTTCAGTTTTTTTGCGATTTCTCAAAATTGATACATGCTATTGGGTTGAAATTCATAACAATGATTATTGGACATGTTCCGGATACGATATGTCAAGGATACGCATGAGTGACCTCGGCGATACGCTCCAGTGAGCAATATAGGATATTACATTTTCATCTTCTTCTCGAGAACGACACTACTTAGAGACTTGAAATTTACATCACATGCAGATAATGAGTCCCCCATCATAAATTGCGAATTTTATGCATGACTGACCACGCTTTCACGCTCTAGTGAGCAAAACGCGTCTTCAGTTTTTTTGCGATTTCTCAAAATTGATACATGCTATTGGGTTGAAATTCATAACAATGATTAATGGACATGTTCCGGATACGATATGTCAAGGATACGCATGAGTGACCTCGGCGATACGCTCCAGTGAGCAATATAGGATTTTACATTTTCCTCTTCTCCTCGAGAACGACACTACTTAGAGACATGAAATTTACATCACATGCAGATAAAAAGTCCCTCATCATAAATTGCAAATTTTATGCATTACTGACCACGCTTTCACGCTCCAGTGAGCAAAACGCGTCTTCAGTTTTTTTTACGCGGGAAGCCTGTTAAAGCTGCACGCAGCTCTAGTTAGTATTGGTTTTACATGCGATACGTCTGCCATCAATGGGAATCAGCGGGAAACGAACGCATTCACCTTTAGTAAGTAGGCTAGCGCTGCGCTACACAGAAACAACAGTAACGAGAACATGTTTGTGTATTATGCTGGAAAAGCGGGACTTTTGGCTGACTTATCGGGACGGCGGGACAACGCTGAAAGCGGGACTGTCCCGCCTAAAGCGGGACGTATGGCAAGCCTACATATATGGAATATTGAGACTATTTCAGAATTTTATTCTGGCAACGGTCTTGATACCGCCGAAAGATCGTCGCAAATAAACGCTGGAGTTGTGCACGTTAGTTCGACAGTGGTTCACTGCAGAGCTCGACCGATATATCAGGCCGTTATTGCGTGTTTGCCGATAGATCATATCGGCCGTGAACCGCCGATATATATCGGCCATAATCGGCAAGCGCGGGGCTGCGTGCTGCAACGGCTCTCGCCCCTGCGTATATTTCTCTCGCTTTCATTTTGCGTTATAACGGTATCTCTCCTAATTCCCCGGTGTCTTATGATTAGCCATTTCATGCATGGTCATAACTGAAAAGTTATTATCTGGAGTAACAATGACGTTTTATAAAGTGACGTTTTTTAAAGAGTACACAATGAGAAAAAGGCAAATTTAGTAACAGCATTAAACGGTGTTTCTATAAATAGAATCGATTGGAAGCTGGTGAGTTAGTAATCTTAGAAACATGGTACAGGTAGCTCTAAGCAATAATGTCAGTTCCGAATTTGTGACCTCCCAAAATTCAATTTTGAAATTTCTGAGGTAACAGTTTTGTCTAAATTGATGGTTGTTTATCATTTTGCTGAAAATTACAAAATAAGAACTTAATCCATTATTATTGACTAAAAAAGGTATTGAGAGTCTCTGCAAACAAAGTTATTAAAAATTTCACATGAAACTGCACATATGCTATCACAATATCGAAGGATCATTATCACGATTCACTTTGAAATATATCAATTTATAATTTTTCAATACCCTTAACATATATACCGGTTATCGGTTATCGGCCACCAGTTGGCCGATATATCGGTATCAAAAAGTGATATCGGTCGAGCTCTAGTTCATTGTCGGTAATAATTAACGATGTTCTGATTGTACAAATTTCATAAAAATTGGTAAGTATCAAGTTAGGAAAGAAATACACACGTCCACATAAATTTTATTGGTGCTGTCCATAGACAATATCATTAATCTGTACTACGTATAAATAGAGCGTAATTTTTGAAAGCTCCGAATGTTGGGAAATTTATGCGCTAATGAAATAAAATCAAATACCAGATAATAGTTGTTTATTTATGTCAAAATTTCATGGAATTCCATGCTACAGCAGACAGTTCGTAGTCGTTTTTATGAGCGGTATTCCGACACGGCAACGTTTTGTTAACAGCTAATCTCAGGATAGTTGTCTAGATAGAGAAATCTTGTATAATTGTTTTCCTGGTATGTTCTCGATCTATATTCTGCGATACCGGTATATTTAGAATTTAATATTCGAGTCTTCAGAAATATAGCATATATATTGTTGAATAAATTGAATGGATTTCACAACTTTTGTGAATTCATTGTATTGCATTAACAAAAATATTTGTACGGCCCGTTTCAACACAGTTTGAGTCATATCCGGCTCGCGGTCGAAAAAGTTTGGTGACCTCAAAAACGAACAATTGCATCAATACAGCTGAAGTTATTTAATGATGTATTGCTGCATAAAATAAAAATATAACATTCAATGCTCGTTTTTACTAGTAATATCTTTGGAAACTTTTTTGCTTTACTAAGCGCTTTGATATTCACACGAACTGGCGATTTGGAAACTCTCAACTGCATACAAAGATTTTCGTCTTCAGCCTTGACCTGTATCGATTGAGTTCGGTTTCGCGTGGCGTCATCTCACTCCGCTACGAGCTTAGTCGGTTCGGGTGTTCAAGATCCGAATTTTCGTTCTAATACTGCAGCAATATTGACTCGAATGTTTTGTTCAACTACCGAGGTATAACAATCAACAATCAATTATATTGTATTACTAAATTATAGTATTTGATATTTTATCGCAAATCTAGGAATTTTTCTAACGTTAATATCTTGAAAATAATTTTGGGTGGTAGCATTGTTATAAAGTGGAGTCAGTGTTGCAAGAATACATAAAACTTGTATAATTCGTAACATCGCAAACATATGAATCAAAACTAAATATAATCGGGCCGTTCGAAACACGTTTTTGTAGATATGTTCTTATTTTGTCGACGCAACCGCAGGTTATATTGAACACACAATTAAATTAAAAAAGCAAGACATTATAAACAGACTCGGATTATTCTCCAATTGAATACTTTGCGCAACTGCAAAATCATTGCCCGACAAAGACAAATCACAGAAAGAACATGTCCGTCGAAAAAGTGGACTTTTTTACAAGTGGCCTGCCTAAATTGCAGCGACAGTCTCATGAAAATTTCCGGATTTCTCCGATCCCTACTCCATTAAGACGATTGCCGATAAGACGGCGTAACTAGGCTAACCAATGGTTGTTTTAAAGGTATCGATGATTTGCAGGTTTGTCACCTCTGACGTAAGCGCTGGTCAGTAACGGCTTCTGTTCCACTCCGATCCTCGTAGCGTAGAGACGTGGTCAAACAACAGGCTGGGTTCGGACACCACAGGGCAGATCGAGTTGAGTAGGGATTTAACAGCAAACAAGGCATAAGAGGAAACTCCTCAACCAGAGAAGCTGGGCTACGAGCCGTCAGGGAAATGTAAGCCAGCAATATCTGCAGTAGCAGGATAGTGAAGGAAAATAAAGATGGGTGTAGTTAAAATAAAACGACAAGGCGCTCCATCAGCTAAAAGGTAATCAGTGCGGAATAAGATAATAAAGTCATCGAGAGTGGAACAGCAAGAAAGCAGCAAAAAAAAACTAAGAGATGAGTGACAGTGAAAATACAAATCAGTGGACCATCCCGCAAGCATTTCAAATATAAATATGAGGAAAGTAGCATCGAATAGGATTGTGTAATAACCAAGCCGTAAGCAATCATAATAAAATAAAAAAAATCTAAGGTAATAAATAATGTGAGAAAAGTAGCGAGTATCAACCCATACTCCCCCTCCGAAAGCAGTCCAATGAAAATGGGCTAGGCCCCAAGGAAGAAAGTAATAAGCAATGTGTAAGAAAATAGAAAAATCATCGAGGCTGGCTGGAGCAGCAAAGAACTGTCTGTTTCTTCCAAAATATCGTACAAAAAAATCGGCAACATGGCTCTTATATTGAATACTAAAATTTTTCCCATTCAATATCAGATAACATAGAAAGAACATCATTTGCATTATTATTATTTTATATATATAGGCCACAAAAATCTGAAGTGTTTAGGGCCTCTGAAAGGCATAATTCGGACCTGCTAGGCACATATTTACAAAGCTTCAGAATTTTATTTTACAAATTTCCGCCCATACGACCGTAAATGTAGAACTTTCATTCAGAATTGCTCTTAAGTGTCATAATGCCAATAAGAGCTGAAGCATGCTCTACTAAAAATCTATGAGAATGGTTGGAGAGTAAAAAGAATAAATGGAAAATAGTCATGCAAAATTGGCTAAGACGATAACGCCGTTTCGATACATTTGCAAATGACAATCTTTAGCGATTCTGTCAGTGGTGGTTTGCTAGACGCACAATGAACGTTGAGTACAAGAATAATTATGTTCATCAATAAATACAAAATTTCAAATTTGAAATTACCTTCACGTGATGATTCAGCCATTTATTCCATAAAAAGTTCAGATGAAGAGTAATTAATTCTTTTCAAATTTATCCTTTTGAAAATCCTTTTATTATTTATCCAAGTATAAGATATTTTTTTTCTCCAATAAGACTCTTTAATATTTCCAATATACCAAAATTTTCCTTCACTGATCATTTGAAAAATAGTCTCAAAACAAAAATTTTGCACTGTAAATTGTATCTGGCTTCTGAGAACTCCGAAAACAAGTCTTGTAATCGTAATAATAATATCGTTTATTATTTATATATCGAGTTATTTATATAGCTAGTAATACATTTTTCAAATTGATAATAGATAAGATTTTTTCTAAATCTATTCCGACAACAGTTTTGCAACTATAAAGATTGTCTAGATTTGCTACCTTTTCATGAAACGAACTTCTTGCATCAAACTTTGTAATATTTGCACCAACGTGAGTTCCGGTACGTATATAAAATTAAGCTGTCGATCTTATAATAAAGATTTGTATAAAAAAAGATTTTAAATCGTCAATACCCATTGCTGCCAAATTTACTAATTTTCCAAGACTGTGTTTTCGGTCTGCAATGAATAAATATAAACATTGAATTCTGTTGTGTTACGTTGCCTCACGACATACTCGAAATTTAACGGTTTCTGAAGAAAGCCTTTTAAGCCTCGAACTCACAGGCGAGTTTAAAACTGCATATCCGTCGCTCCAAACAGATAGGTTCGAAGTTAACAAAAAGGTGTACCCTTGTTTATTATTTTTTGTTCAAATGCATTGGACCAAAGTAGCGAACGTCTAGAAATTGTGTCTATTCGAGCGTTGCATTTCTTAGTCGTTTTTACAGTCAAAACGCAAGCTGGCATATGAATCGCGACAAAATGGCCTAATTTAATGGAATTTCAGAGTTACGTGCGATTCTATTCTGGATCGAAATTTTACTCGAAGATTTTTTCATAGAATATACGGGCGATTCTAATCTTGAAGTTTTAACAAGAGTTGTTGACGAAAACACTCCTGAAATATTTAAAGCGTTAATGTAAGAGTTCAGGTTAAATAATGTATACTTAATATATACTTAATAATATACATTCTAAAGATGCATAAAATGTTTGCTATTTCTTCAGTTTATCTTATTTGTAACTTTATTTTAATTTAAGTTCGAGTACATTTGCAATTGTGGGTCTTAAACATGCTGCTTCCATAGTTAAGTCATGTATCAGGGACATGGGGAAAACGTGAGCCAAGTGTGGAACAAGTAAAAGCTGGGTCTATTAAGCCTCATTATATCCGCTTTGAAATCAAGTTTAGGTAGTTTTACGGAAAGCATGAATGAATTTGTTTGGGTTCGTTTTTATAATAGAGAAAAATTGATCGTTATGCCAAGCTTTAGTAAAATATTTGCCAAATAACCAAAATATCCATTGCGCAATGCTGAAATCAGCAGTATGACAAAATAAAAACGATTGTTATGTCCTGACAAGGCAAGGAGACTACTGTTTGAAGTAACGAAGTATATTACACAATATATACAAAGGAAACGGCGAACTGTATAAGATCAAACAAGAGAGCAATGCTCAAATATATGGACACGCAGAACAATTCCCCAAAAATCATATGCGATGACTTACCAGTACCTGTATAAACAAAGCAAGCAGCTACGAGTTAGTTCAGTGTCACCGCGCTGTGTTACGGTACCAGAACTTCTCTATCTGGGCTTCTAATTGCATTTCATGATTTCTGACCGTCATATATTTCAAGAACACGGTTATTTCAAACAAAACTCGTCAAATTATAAAAAAGCACCACATCACAGCAATCAAACAGACAAAAACACGATGGTCGCAAATTGGTTGACAAAGATAATATCGACGTATTGGAAATGCGCACCCCCTTATTCCCCCTCCTACCTGTAATGCCGGACGCTTCTTCTTTGCAAAACCAACTTATTCGATTTATCACGGTATTATAATAGCAGATACCACAGTCTACAAATATAATCACACCAAGCGAAGCATTTCGACCACAGTCTATAAATATATTCACACCAAGCGAAGCAGTGAAGTACGGTTTACCGTACCTCTAGTCTAGACCAGTGATTCCCAAAGTGGGCGATATCGCCCCCCGGTGGGCGAAAACGATACAGAGGGGGGCGAAAAAGTCAAAGGGGGCGATAGGGGGGCGAAAAAGTCAAAGGGGGCGATAGGGGGGCGATTTCACGAAACCTGTTTTTGTTCGGCGTATCGATTCACTGAATGGACCTTTCCCCGACTTTTGACCGCAAAAAATTCTTCCTATACTTCACCATTTTGGTGCTTAGTTTAAGAGTGTTTGGCGAGTTGGTACCTTTAACAATCTGTTTTTAAAAGTACCGATAAAGAATTTTCGCCTAGTCTATCACATATTATTCTACAATAATTTTTGATTACTGTATTTAAACTGAAACTTATAGGAAGACAAAGTAATCATTGACTTATATTTAAATTTCCGAAAAACAACTAAAAACTAACAAATATAATTGAAAAATCGTGAAAATGATGTAATGTTCACGACCACGCTTGAAAGTCTGTATGAGTGATTGCGTCTGAGCGGATGCGAAAGGGTTGGCATTTTTACGTTCATTTGTTCATCTTGCTGATTGCCGATTGGCCAATGTCACAAAGTAAACAAGGAAGTAATTTACATTTTTACGTAACAGAATTTATCGTTATTATATCCTAAAAATTTTATTGAACAGCTAGCTACTCGTTAAACGAGCCTACAATTTAAAAATAATTAGACAAATGGAAACACGAATGAAAAGTTGATCCGAGGCCTGAGTACAGGGGTTCAATAGCGCAGTAAATAATCGAATATATTACAATTACAATGCAATAAGGAAATGAAATTCATATTCTATTCGAGAGATTCTTCACTGCTCAATTTTTGTAAAAATGTTTCATCTTAGGAATATCTTCAACAAAATTTAACAAACCATGCGAAAATATTTACTTCGATGTTTGGAAGTAAATATTTGTGCGAACAATTATTTCCGAAAATGAACAATACAAAGAACAAGCAAATAACTAGGATTCGTGATGCCCATTTAGAAAATATTCCAATCTTGGCAACAAGACAGTGTCACATTAAATGTCATTGTAATAATTTTTTAATAAGACGACTGAGTTGAATTCACGAATTGTCGCAGTTTTTGCGCACTCTTACGTTTTTAACTTTAAAAAAATATAAGCGACCCACAAAAACTAGCAACCCTAAATTTTGTTTCGCGAGCGACATAAAATTTGCCGACCCCTGGGCCGTAGCCGATTGTCGGTCACGAATTCTCCCACATCCGAGTCCATGAATCCAAAAACAAATGGTTGAATACTTCGATGTACTGGAGATCGTGGTAGAATGAGGAATCGGGGATGAATTTTATCGAAGTATTTTGGTACAGGTCATTAGGCTGTAGGAATGAATTGGATGTACGAAAATAATCATTATAAGTTTGGAAAAATTAACTTTGTTTTCATTATTTTAATGTGAAATGGGGTGAATTTAGGGAGTGAAATGCTATAACGCAAGTACCGTACACGGCGGTTTTTGAGGGGGTAGAACCCTGGATTCTCTCATTTCCGACCTATTATATGGTGAAAAGGGGGTTTTCAACCGTGCTACTATTACTATCAAAACAACGAAATCGCCTTTCTATCAGTAAATGGGGTAATTTTAGATATAATAAAACACTCGCTGAAGAACACCAAGCTCATCCATCTCATTAAAAACACTATAAACTATGATTTGTCTTCTTTTTTGGTCTGTAATATATTCGTTTCTGACTTTACATTTTTTTGTAGTGCAGGGGGGCGATGAAGTTGTATAAACTACTTCAGGGGGGCGATGGTCAAAAAAGTTTGGGAACCACTGGTCTAGACCACAGTCTACAAATATATTTACACCAAGCGAAGCAGTACAGTACGGTGTGGCTCAACGGGTTAAGCGTTAGGAATACGCTCGCCACCGCACCTATAATTACTCTGCGTGGGTTCGCAGGTTCAAATCTCATGCAGGGATGGTTATGTGCGAGAGGATTGCTGGACTCCTCGCCGTTGTTAAGTGGTTCACGTAACCGCTGGTCGGTTACGGCTTCCTCCACCACCAAGTCCATGCTTCCGAAAACAAACAATACAGTATAACTAACTAATCCCGGACTAACTAAGGTAGCCGGACGAGAGGCCGTGGTTCGCCATATAGATAAGCCGTCTTATCGGCTTTCCTCTCCCCCGGGATAAATATGTAAATCCTATCATACGGTCTACCGTACCTTTAGCATCACCGCTATTCACCGGTAACCTCGAAAAACTTGCGATTTTTGAGTAACGATATTCAGAATCCGCCGTCACGCCAACGTTCGATGTCACGTGATCAAAAAGAGGAGTGCCTGCATATGCGTCCGCAGAACGTTCAGTGACGTCATAGCAAACAAGAACAAATCTCACAGAGTTAACAGGAATATTTGAAATAAATAAAAGTAATAGCCTTCTGGAAAAAAATTTCATTTCTAACCACTACAAATTTCAAAGCAATTGGTCCAGTGATCAAAGAGAAAAGCGGTTTTTTAATATTTTCACTAGGTGTCCAAAAGTGTCAAAGAACAACAACAAGCCCAACATAATATTGAAACGATCGTTATGTCCACTTCGTGTCCAATAACAAGCAGCCAGCAAGCTTAACAGAAAACGTAGAATGAGTAATAGACAGGGAAATCCCCTGACGTCACAATATGCTATATACAAGACTATGCGCATGAATAAGTACCAACGATGAGAAAAAAAATGTACGAGTTCAACAGAGTATAGCTAGCTAGTTATAAGTGTATTATATTAATTTAAAATTTTATTTTGACGGTAAAACAAGTTTTTCAATTTAATATTGTTCGCTACACTTGTTACAGGCAGAAATTTACTTTAGTGATTTAACACATTCATTTTAGTTATTCTGGTCCCGATAATCATGTTTAGACTTGCTCTCGTTTATTTATTTGTTTATTTATATTAAGCGGCACTGACCGAGAGAAAGTTTGAAGTCTTGGCAATGATGGTGCAATACTCTCTTATATCAGCTGATTTGTATTCATGCCCTTGTTTTTCTTATTGTATTATACTAAATGTCCTATTTATTAGTGTGGGAGACAGTGCAATGAGGCCTGGTCACATGAATTTCTTTGTTAGTAG